TTAAAGTCGATTAAGGAAAACATTCTTCTGGTGGTTTCTCTGGCTTTCACTCAGAAGCCTTAGATTTAAAATCTGTTCCACTGTGCTTCGGTCTTTTCTGAAGCCAGCTTGTGATTCATCTAGAATTTCTTCGATTCCCGGTTTTATTCTATTTAGGATGATGGTAAGTAAGACTTTGCTAGGGTGACTTATAAGGCTAATTGTGCGGTGTTCACTACAGTTTTTGCTCATTTTCTTCTTTGGGATGGGAATGAGGATGGACTGAGTCCATTGTGTAGGCCATTTACCAGTTTGGAGTATTCGGTTGCACAGAAGATGTAGGGTTTTGACAGATGGCTCTCCACCGCAATTGATTAATTCTGCTGGAAGGTTGTCAAATCCAGGTGCTTTATTCCTTTTCAACTTTATTATCGCTGCCCTTACTTCTGATTCTAAGATGTCTGCTTTACTTCTGATTCTAAGATGTCTGCTTTACTTCTGATTCTAAGATGTCTGCTTCTACTTCTGATTCTAAGATGTCTGCTTTACTTCTGATTCTAAGATGTCTGCTTTACTTCTGATTCTAAGATGTCTGCTTCTACTTCTGATTCTAAGATGTCTGCTTTACTTCTGATCCTAAGATGTCTGCTTCTACTTCTGATTCTAAGATGTCTGCTTCTACTTCTGATCCTAAAATGTCTGCTTCTACTTCTGATCCTAAAATGTCTGCTTTACTTCTGATCCTAAAATGTCTGCTTCTACTTCTGATCCTAAAATGTCTGCTTTACTTCTGATCCTAAAATGTCTGCTTCTACTTCTGATCCTAAAATGTCTGCTTCTACTTCTGATTCTAAGATGTCTGCTTTACTTCTGATCCTAAAATGTCTGCTTCTACTTCTGATTCTAAGATGTCTGCTTTACTTCTGATCCTAAAATGTCTGCTTCTACTTCTGATTCTAAGATGTCTGCTTTACTTCTGATCCTAAAATGTCTGCTTCTACTTCTGATCCTAAAATGTCTGCTTTACTTCTGATCCTAAAATGTCTGCTTCTACTTCTGATCCTAAAATGTCTGCTTCTACTTCTGATTCTAAGATGTCTGCTTCTACTTCTGATCCTAAAATGTCTGCTTCTACTTCTGATCCTAAAATGTCTGCTTTACTTCTGATCCTAAAATGTCTGCTTCTACTTCTGATCCTAAAATGTCTGCTTCTACTTCTGATTCTAAGATGTCTGCTTCTACTTCTGATCCTAAAATGTCTGCTTCTACTTCTGATTCTAAGATGTCTGCTTCTACTTCTGATCCTAAAATGTCTGCTTCTACTTCTGATTCTAAGATGTCTGCTTCTACTTCTGATCCTAAAATGTCTGCTTCTACTTCTGATCCTAAAATGTCTGCTTCTACTTCTGATTCTAAGATGTCTGCTTTACTTCTGATCCTAAAATGTCTGCTTCTACTTCTGATCCTAAAATGTCTGCTTCTACTTCTGATCCTAAGATGTCTGCTTCTACTTCTGATTCTAAAATGTCTGCTTCTACTTCTGATCCTAAAATGTCTGCTTCTACTTCTGATTCTAAGATGTCTGCTTCTACTTCTGATCCTAAAATGTCTGCTTCTACTTCTGATTCTAAGATGTCTGCTTCTACTTCTGATTCTAAGATGTCTGCTTCTACTTCTGATCCTAAAATGTCTGCTTCTACTTCTGATCCTAAGATGTCTGCTTCTACTTCTGATTCTAAGATGTCTGCTTCTACTTCTGATTCTAAGATGTCTGCTTCTACTTCTGATTCTAAGATGTCTGCTTCTACTTCTGATCCTAAAATGTCTGCTTCTACTTCTGATCCTAAAATGTCTGCTTCTACTTCTGATCCTAAAATGTCTGCTTCTACTTCTGATCCTAAAATGTCTGCTTCTACTTCTGATCCTAAATGTCTGCTTCTACTTCTGATCCTAAAATGTCTGCTTCTACTTCTGATTCTAAGATGTCTGCTTCTACTTCTGATCCTAAAATGTCTGCTTCTACTTCTGATTCTAAGATGTCTGCTTCTACTTCTGATCCTAAAATGTCTGCTTCTACTTCTGATCCTAAAATGTCTGCTTCTACTTCTGATTCTAAGATGTCTGCTTCTACTTCTGATTCTAAGATGTCTGCTTCTACTTCTGATCCTAAAATGTCTGCTTCTACTTCTGATTCCTAAGATGTCTGCTTCTACTTCTGATCCTAAGATGTCTGCTTCTACTTCTGATTCTAAGATGTCTGCTTCTACTTCTGATCCTAAAATGTCTGCTTCTACTTCTGATTCTAAGATGTCTGCTTCTACTTCTGATCCTAAGATGTCTGCTTCTACTTCTGATTCCTAAGATGTCTGCTTCTACTTCTGATCCTAAAATGTCTGCTTCTACTTCTGATCCTAAAATGTCTGCTTCTACTTCTGATTCTAAGATGTCTGCTTCTACTTCTGATCCTAAAATGTCTGCTTCTACTTCTGATTCTAAGATGTCTGCTTCTACTTC